GCTGGGCCTGGCTTCTCCGGTCTGCAGCCGGGCCTGCCTGGCGTCCTCCCACGCCGCTCGGCCCGGGGCCGCTGGTGTCGCCCTCCGCCCTCCTTTGGTGCATACTCGCCCCGCACCTCAGTCCACACCCGCAGCCGTGGCCCTGTCCCCCTCCCCGGCACCGTGCACCTAGTCCCCAAGTCTCTACACCTGTCCTCCCTGTCTGAAGCTGCCTGTGGTGTTCTGGAACCTTCTGGTCTCTTGACTTCTTCCCAGCCTAACCCCGGAGGGTTCCCGAAAGTGGAGGCCCGACTTCCCCCAAAGAGTCCCGTCACTTCTGGGTCCAGGTGCTCTTGGGCTGCCTACGTCTCTGCCAGGCCCTTGGGGAGCACCGGCCTCTGCAGGGGGTCCGAGGAACCCCAGGGACGGGGGCCACCGCTGGGACATTCGTGGTTGTCACATCGTGTGTGGCGTGCTCTTGGCACGGGTTCCCCATCCCGGGGGCAGGGGTGCTCCTCAGCCCCCACTCGCCGAGAGCGATCTGGGCCCACCGGCCAGCCTGGGAGGGGAGACCCTGGGCAGGGGGCCCTGGTCCTAGCGTGTTCCGGCCTCCGTTTCCTGGGCAGGGTCAGAGCCCCCGGAGCCCCTGTGCAGGTCCGGCCTCGCTCCTGAACCGAGATCCGTGGGCTCTGCGGTCGCCCCTGTCCAGCCCGCCGAGGGGAGCCAGTCCTGGTCCTCCCTTTCCCGGCAGCACGGCCCGTCTGGATGAGGCTGGCCCTCGGCGTCCCTGGGCCCCCTTCCTCCCAGAGCCTCCCTCCGGCCCGCAGCCCCTTCTGCCGCCCCTCCTTCACCGGCCCACCTTCCCTGCCCCTCGGGCTCTCTCCTGGTGAGAAGCCCAGGCCGCCTGCCCCCGGGGTCTCAGCCCGTCTGGGGGCAAGCTGGACCAGTGTTCCTGGAGCTGCCCGCCGTCTGGAGCGCGGGCCCGGGGCGCAGCTCGCTGTCCCCCATGTTCACAGGGCAGGGGGGGGGCG